ATTTCCAATTGGGAAGTCAATCTTTTTACAGTGTGATCATATTTAAAATCAATAGACTGGTGTCATAGATATCATTAGAAATACAGTTTAGGAGGCTGGTTCAAAATACTAAAATAGTAGTAGAAAAAAGTCACAAAATAGTAATAAATAATTACTTAGATCAAGGCTCAGAGTGGTACTAAACTCTTTTACGCTACTATTACCTACAGGTTAGCTTATAATAAAGTTTACCTGTAGGTAAAATGAATATCTCCTAAATGTGCACCATTGGGCGGCACAGTGGCTTTAGTGGTTAGCACGTCTGCAGTAAATGGGTTATCGGTTCGATTCCCAACCATGGCGCCTCCTGCATGGAGTTTGCATGGTCTCCCTGTGCTTGCGTGGGTTTCCTCCGGGTGCTCCGGTTTCCTCCAACACTCCAAAGACATGCGGGTAGGTTAATTGGATCCTGTCTAAATTGGCCCTAATATGTGTATGTATGAATGTGAGTTAGGGACCTTAGATTGTACACCCTTTGAGGGTTAGGGACTGATGTGAATGTTCAATATATATGTGTAAAGTGCTGCGTAAAATTGACAGCGCTATATAAGTACCTGAAATAAATACATTTAGGGGATATTCACTGTTTCTGCAGCTGATGACGTCACTCTGAAGGGACGGCATACTCATGCCTTCTGTTCAGAGCTCTGTGGAGTGACTCCTGTGTGAGTGTGCACGTTGACGTCACTGAGACTTGGCCGTTCAAACAGCTGGAGCCCTTGAAACTGGAAGGAAGACTGGTGTGAAGATGGAAGCCCTGTCAGCGGTGACAGCGCACCGCTGGAGGGCTTCGTTTTAAGGTAAGTTTCTCATTATGTGATGCATACAAGCACAGTATAACATTACTTTGAAGGGGCCTGGACATATTTTTTTTTTTCCGCATTTACTACCATCTAGATTAGTTTAAAGGTGCTCATACATGCTTTGATAAATAATTGATCTCTTTTCCAATCGATCTCTTCCAAAAGGAATAATTGATCTATAGACAACCCATTCAATCAATATGTCACCAATGGGGAAGTTGATTTTGATCGACACTTAAAGGGGAGCTCCAGTCAAACCTGCAAAAAATAAAAGTCAGTAGCTACAAAATCTGTAGTTGCTGACTTATAAAAAACAGACACTCATCTGTCTCATGATCCAGCAATGTGCTCACTGCAGCCCCTTTCAGCAGCCATCCTCGCTCCCTGGCGACATCCTAAGTGTGGGCCCCCGGCTGTGACAGCTTGCGGCTTCACAGCCGGGTACCCATTGTACATGCAGGAGTCTTCTGGGACCGGTCACGTGTCCCAAAAGACTACAGGGAGGGAGGGGGGAACACAATTTTTGCTTTTGATCGCTTAGGCAATTGCAGCGGAAATGGGAGTGCGTACCTGTCAAAATCAGATACCAGCTCCCCAAAGGTGTCAATTCTTATTGGACTTTTAATAGACCTCCGCTTTAATATACAATGGTAATTTATGATCATAAATTATCAACTACATCTCTGCTTCCACCACTTAATCTCATAATCTGATCAAGTGAAATATGATCGTATCCATGAACAAAGCCTCTCAATCCTGCCAGCCAATGCACAATGATTGATAGAATTCTGCCCTGGCTGATCAACTCTAATCAAAATTGAGTCTATATTGAACAGAAGGGAAGTTATGGCTATTTGATTGTTTGCAGATTCAATTGCTTTGATTGAATCACACATTGATCGGATACAATAAAAACTGAAGGCCACCATGCAGTAAGAGTTAGTGCCATTCATTTTTAGTGTTGATGTGTTAACAAAACAAAATGTATTACAGTGGTATTGTGAGGGGTATAGCATGCGGGTGATCAAGCACCTATAGTGTCAGTGTTTGTATTAGGGTTCATGTCAGTGCCAGTGTTAGACTTACATTCACAGTACTGCAAATTCAAATATGAGTCACACAGAATAGCATGACAGTGAAAATCACATTCAGTTAGTCCCCTACATTTGAACATTCAACTTGTGAACCTTCAAAGATCCAGCGGCCTGCATGAAAAAAAAACTCGAACAGATTGCCTTACCAACACGAGCAATGTTAGTGCGGCGATCTCCCCCACTGTGCCTTTGTGTTCTGACAGGGGGGACTCACCCAGCCAGAACACACTGTTCAGTGCTTGCGACCATTGTCTTCAAGCACTGATCTTTGTTGGACTTACAAACAAGTTGGACTTATGAACAGGCTCCCGTAATGGAACATGATCAGAAGTAGGGGAATTACTGTATATCAATGCGACTTAGCACAGTCAATTTTGAAAACTTTTCCCGCACTATTTTGGTGTGATTCCAGCTCGATTTTGACCCCAGAAAATATGCAAACTACTTCAACGTATTATGAGGGGTCTTCAAAAAGTTTCTGCAATTTTATACATACATACATAGATATCTATCTATCTATCTATCTATCTATATATATGTGTGTGTTAAAAAAAGTGTAGACAATTTTTGAAGACCCCTTTTATCATAAAAGTATTATCAAAGTAACCTCCCGATTGCTGTACATAATCGCACTGAAAGTAGGATCAAAATTGTATCACAGCAATGTGAACCTACCCTTACAGCAGCCATACATGGATCAAAATTTGGCCAGACAGCCAAATTTCGATCCATATACAGGGACAGTGGTTGTACAGAAGTTGGTCTAATTTCTGTGCAAGCAGCCTGTCAGGTTTATATCAAAATGATCAATGCCGCCAGACGTCTCCCCACCATGAATACAATAGCTCAGCGGGAGTGATTCCCCCAACCACACTTTTCATTGGGTCATTTGCTTTTGTTCAACCTGCTGGTTGAGCGCAAACCAAATGAATAATGTATGGGCAGCCATGGACTAGATTCACATGGACGCACATGCCACCAGCACAATTCTTGTAGATCTAAAGGCTGCATGCACACAGGGTGTGTGAACAGCAACAGCTGTCAGATCTGTACCATGGGCAGCGCTGTAAGAGCTTAGACGCAGACAGCGTGATTCCAAGGTCGGAGTTTGTGAGCGCAGCTGATCGGACAGTTTGTATGTGGCCAGGAGTGGCGTTTAGCTGTCTCTGATTATCCGTCCCATCACCCATGTGAATGTAACCTTAGCTAGGATTAAAAATAAAAGTTTTTCTCTTTTTTTCTGGAGGTGGTGGGCACTGTGCAGCAGATCACTGAAAAGTTAAAGGTCCTGCCCCCCTGTATATGAATTCTAATAATAACCAGTGCTGGTTGTACATGTGATCAGCCTGTCATGTCCACCTGGCACTGACACCAATCCCACATCAGGGATCGCTCAGCACCTGCTCCCTTCACTCCACACTGACAACAAGTGGTGATCCTGCAGGAAGTTCCATCACACACTGCATTACCTGCCACCAGCAGCAAGCAGCCGATCGTCACTGTCCTACACATCCGATGACTCAGATCCATCCTATGGGCTATAGACACACTCCACCAATGATCTAATCAGGCGATCCTTCCACAAGGCAAGCAGACTGGCAGCAGATTTCCTGTAGAGGGGAATCCGAGCACAGACGTGGGCAGCATGAGGAGCAGGTGTCACTGAGGAAGGGCTGAGATGACACCGTCTATTCTACACTCTGCTCTGCGATCATTTACTTTCCATGCTTCCTCCTTCCCACGCCTCCTAGCTGCTGTGTGACCACAGGGCGACCCCTCCTGGACGATGCGCTGCAATGTCATGCTCCGTGCAGCCATTGTCACCAACAGGGGGGACCTGTCACACTACACCTGTCACAAGAGCTGCTGATGTCACCAGACATTCCCATGTGCTGCTTATCAGCTCCAGGGCAAAGTGATACCTGAACTAACCCAGAAATACAGGAACGACTGCTTGTGTCTATTACGCACCATGAGGAAATCAGACGCAAATAACCACGTTTACAGTCACCGGCCAAGTCTGGTACACAAGAGGAGAACATCAGACGAATGATCGCCAGTTTTTTTGCATGCCATTCTTATTGCCACAAGCACCGAAAGTCACAAAATCATGCAACTGAGAGTAAAAATCCCCCCCCCCCCCCCCCCCCCCCCCCCCCCCCCCCCCCCCCCCCCCGGCACAGCAAACAGTCCTATATGTAAAACCAGCGCACACTTTATCCTTCAATCCCCGCTATCTATGATTGTGGGATAAACTGCGCTGGTTTTATTTACAGGGCCGGATCTAGGGGGGTGCTGGGGTGGGCTGTGCCCCCCAGATTTTAGTTGTGCCCGCTCAGGTCTCTGAGAGTGCATCCTCTGATCCATGAGCCACTCTAATGTAGACAGTTGATATAAGTAGGCACCATGTAAGGGGGCACTCTGATGGGGACACCAGATGTAAAAAGACACTCTGATGGGGATAACTATATGTAAGGAGGCACTCTGATGGGGACAACTGATGTAAAGAGACACTCTGATGGGGTCACCTGAAATAAAGGGCACTCTGATGGGGACACATGATGTAAAGGGGCACTCTGATGGGGATCCTGATGTAAAGGGGCACTTTGATGGGGACACTTGATATATGGGGCACTCTGATGGGGACACCTGATGTAAGGGGGCACTCTGATGGGGACAACTGATGTAAAGAGACACTCTGATGGGGTCACCTGAAATAAAGGGCACTCTGATGGGGACACATGATGTAAAGGGGCACTCTGATGGGGATCCTGATGTAAAGGGGCACTTTGATGGGGACACTTGATATATGGGGCACTCTGATGGGGACACCTGATGTAAGGGGGCACTCTGATGGGGACAACTGATGTAAAGAGACACTCTGATGGGGTCACCTGAAATAAAGGGCACTCTGATGGGGACACATGATGTAAAGGGGCACTCTGATGGGGATCCTGATGTAAAGGGGCACTTTGATGGGGACACTTGATATATGGGGCACTCTGATGGGGACACCTGATGTAAGGGGGCACTCTGATGGGGTCACCTGATATAAAGGGCACTTTGATGGGGACACATGATGTAAAGGGGCACTCTGATGCGGATCCTGATGTAAAGGGGCACTTTGATGGGGACACTTGATATATGGGGCACTCTGATGGGGACACCTGATGTAAGGGGGCACTCTGATGGGGACACCTGATGTAAAGAGACACTCTGATGGGGTCACCTGATATAAAGGGCACTTTGATGGGGACACATGATGTAAAGGGGCACTCCGATGGAGATCCTGATGTAAAGGGGCACTTTGATGGGGACAATTGATATATGGGGTACTCTGATGGGGACACCTGATGTAAGGGGGCACTCTGATGGGGATAACTAATTATCTGTAAGGGGGCACGCTGATGGGGACACCTGATGTAAGGAAGCACTCTGATGGGGATAACTAATTATCTGTTAGGGGGCACTCTGATGGGGATAACTAATTATATGTAAATAATTATATGTAAGTGGGCACTCTGATGGGGACAACTGATGTAAGGAGACAATCTGGAGGGGACACCTGATGTAAGGGGGCACTCTGATGGGGATCCTGATATAAAGGGGCACTTTGATGGAGACACTTGATATATGGGGCACTCTGATGGGGACACCTGATGTAAGGGGGCACTCTGATGGGGATAACTAATTATCTGTAAGGGGGCACTCTGATGGGGACACCTGATGTAAGGGGGCACGCTGATGGGGACACCTGATGTAAGGAAGCACTCTGATGGGGATAACTAATTATCTGTTAGGGGGCACTCTGATGGAGATAACTAATTATATGTAAATAATTATATGTAAGTGGGCACTTTGATGGGGACACCTGATGTAAGGAGACAATCTGGAGGGGACACCTGATGTAAGGGGGCACTCTGATGGGGATCCTGATGTAAAGGGGCACTTTGATGGAGACACTTGATATATGGGGCTCTCTGATGGGGACACCTGATGTAAGAGGCACTCTGATGGGGATAACTAATTATCTGTAAGGGGGCACTCTGATGGGGACACCTGATGTAAGGGGGCACGCTGATGGGGACACCTGATGTAAGGAAGCACTCTGATGGGGATAACTAATTATCTGTTAGGGGGCACTCTGATGGAGATAACTAATAATATGTAAATAATTATATGTAAGTGGGCACTTTGATGGGGACACCTGATGTAAGGAGACAATCTGGAGGAGACACCTGATGTAAGGGGGCACTCTGATGGGGATCCTGATGTAAAGGGGCACTTTGATGGGGACACTTGATATATGGGGCACTCTGATGGGGACACCTGATGTAAGGGGCACTCTGATAGGGATAACTAATTATCTGTAAGGGGGCACTCTGATGGGGACACCTGATGTAAGGGGGCACACTGATGGGGACACCTGATGTAAGGAAGCACTCTGATGGGGATAACTATCTGTAAGGGGGCACTCTGATGGGGATAACTAATTATATGTAAATAATTATATGTAAGTGGGCACTCTGATGGGGGCACCTGATGTAAGGAGACAATCTGGAGGAGAGGAGACACCTGATGTAAGGGGGCACTCTGATGGGGATCCTGATGTAAAGGGGCACTTTGATGGGGACACTTGATATATGGGGCACTCTGATGGGGACACCTGATGTAAGGGGCACTCTGATAGGGATAACTAATTATTATCTGTAAGGGGGCACTCTGATGGGGACACCTGATGTAAGGGGGCACGCTGATGGGGACACCTGATGTAAGGAAGCACTCTGATGGGGATAACTATCTGTAAGGGGGCACTCTGATGGGGATAACTAATTATATGTAAATAATTATATGTAAGTGGGCACTCTGATGGGGGCACCTGATGTAAGGAGACAATCTGGACGGGACACCTGATGTAAAGGGGCACTCTAGTGGGGATCCTTATGTAAGGGGGCACTCTGATGGGGACAACAGATGTAAGGGGACACTCTGATGGGGATAACTAATTATATGTAAGGGGGCACTCTGATGGGGACACCTGATGTAAGTGGCACTCTGATGGGGACACATGATGTAAAGGGGCACACTGAAGGGGATCCTGATGTAAAGGGACACTTTGATGGGGACACCTGATAAAAGGGACACTGTGATGAGGACACCTGATGTAAGGGGGCACTCTGATGGGGACACCAGATGTAAGGGGGCACTCTGATAGAGACACCTGATGTAAGGGGGCACTCTGATAGAGACACCTGATGTAAGGGGGCACTCTGATAGAGACACCTGATGTAAGGGGGCACTCTGATAGAGACACCTGATGTAAGGGGGCACTCTGATAGAGACACCTGATGTAAGGGGGCACTCTGATAGAGACACCTGATGTAAGGGGGCACTCTGATAGAGACACCTGATGTAAGGGGACACTCTAATGGGGATCCTGATATAAGGGGGGCTATGATAAGGATATCTGATATAAGGGGACAACCTAATACATAATAGTGTTTCCAAGGTCATTACACTGTGTGACACTCTCAGTTACTCACACACAGTGCTGTCATTGTGCCCCCTGACCTCTTTTTTTACTGCACCCCCAGATCAGATTAGGCTAGATCCAGCCCTGATTTTATATATATAGGATTTTTTGAGTGCCAGTCTCAAATCAAAAATGAATAGTTTACTAAAGTTATGAAAAGACAGAATACAACTTCCGGCGATCATGTAAAGTATTGTATTGTAATGTATTCTTTCGTTTCCAATCATGCGGGGCCTTGGTTATTTGATTTTTTTAATGCAAATATTATACTAGTTATATGTAAATCGTTGGTTCTGTTATCTTACGAGAAACTTTTTCATGCTTGTCCCTTCGGATATTTTTGCATGAACTGTCATGATCGGCTATCAAAAGCTGTGTCCTAATGATCAGATTATTGGACAATCATAGGCCCAGTACACACCATGAGATTATCAGATGAATGATCATCCATTTTTTTTTTTTCTTTTTTGCATGCTAGTCTCATATTGAAAGTGAAGCAGTTACTAAAGTTACTAAAATTCTTGTACGACAGAATAAAAATTTGAAAGTGATGTAATGTATTGTACTTGTATTGTATTTTTGGACGAAAACTGTACTGATTAAATGAAAATCGTATGATCTGGTACCGTACGAGAAACATTTTTATGCTTGTCCCTTAAAATAATTTCTGACAAAAGCTGTGTACCAACGATCAGATTATTGTACGATCATTTCGAAAGCTGTATTTTTCGTACTGTTTTCTGTTTGTGTGTACTAAGCAGAATAGTACATGGCTTCTAACATCCAATCACAATAGTTCAGACAAAAAATTCCAAAGGAACATGAGCGCAAATTTTTCTTATTTGATAATTAAACAAACAATTTTCACCTTATTAGTACAGTATTGGTACTAAATTCTAGTGACCAAGACAGTGCATGTTTGGAAATGAAAGGACGACCCAGAAGAAGAAAAGGGCAACAAAGACAATTACAGTGTAAAATGAAAAATGTTTTCAAATACAAAAAAATCATAGTTTGCTTATCAGGTGGCCTTCTAATAAAGATTGAGACCTCTTTTTTGTGAATAATAATTTGTTATCATGTTGGTAGCCCTTAGGACTCTTATTACTGTATTCTTTTATAAAAATATAATTATTAGATGTGCGAGTTCATTACGAATCAAAATTCAAACAAATTTTAATTAATCGGAGATTCAGATGTATCTGAATCTTTGAATCACAATAGTAATAAATTTCAATGAATCTAAAAGAACAAATTCATTCGTATTCATTTGTTTCATATGTTTGCGACTTCAGAGGGTTTTGTAAGTTCAATAATATGTGTCACACTCTGTATTGTTATGATTGGCCAAGGTCCAGCAAAATATCAAAGTTGCAAGCAAGTTGCATCAAAATAGTAAACAAGTAGCATAGAATTCGTAAGCAAGTCGCAGAAATAACATAATGACATAACAAATGAATCCGAATCTTCCTTAAAGCGATTTTAAAGGTTAATTTTTTTTTTTGTAAAATAACAAACATGGTATACTTACCGGCTCTGTGAAGTGGTTTTGCACAGAGCAGCCCTGATCCTCTTCTCAGGTCCCCTGCAGGCTCTACTGGCTCCTCCTGGCTGTCGAGTGCCCCCACAGCAACCAGCTTGCTATGGTGGCACCCGCTGCACCTTGTGTCCATTCACACATGGAGCTGCGGCTTGGCCCCACCCCCTCTCTCTCCTCATTACCTGACTGTGATTGACAGCAGTGGGAGCCAATTTTTCTTGCTTGCTGTCTCAGCTAATGAGGAGGCAGAGATCCAAGACAGCCAAGGCTGTCATTCACATCGCTGGATCACGATGAGGCTCAGGTAAGTATTGAGGGGGCTGGGGGTATTTTTTTTTTGTAAAATAACAAACATGTTATACTTACCGGCTTTGTGTAGTGGTTTTGCACAGAGAAGCCCTGATCCTCTTTTCGGGTCCCTTGCAGGCTCTACTGGCTCCTCCTGTCTGTCGGGTGCCCCTATAGCAAGCAGCTTGCTATGGGGGCACCCGCTGCTCCTTGTGTCCATTCACACATGGAGCTGCGGCTTGGCCCCACCCCCTCTCTCTTCTCATTACCTGACTGTGATTGACAGCAGTGGGAGCCAATTTTTCCCGCTTGCTGTCTCAGCCAATGAGGAGGCAGAGATCCGAGACAGCCAAGGCTGTCATTCACATTGCTGGATTGTGATGAGGCTCAGGTGAGTATTGAGGGGGGGGCTGGGGGAGCTGCTGCATGCAGAAGGTTTTTTACCTTAAAAAACCTTCAGCCTTTACAACTACTTTAATAACTTCCAAAAATACAAATTGATTCAGAAAAACAACAAATATACAAAATGAATCAGAATATACTAAACAAATTCCGAAAACAAATCATCCTAACATAGCAAATATGAGGAAACTAAATTATTTACTTCACAAATAAATACAAAATGAAACGCAACAAATATTTTTGTTGCATACATTTCTAATAATTAGCACAAATTACATAAATCCATAAAACAATCAAGAGATCAATTGTGTTTGTTTCCAATATCTTTTCAGCTAGCATTGAAAAAAAATGTGCTATCCAGCGACTAGTAGCAAGCAGTAGTAACACATATGTTACACCACTTCCGATTCCATGCTGGAACACAGCTACATACACGGGAAGTTGTAGTCTGTTGTACAAGAATTTTTGTACCTTTATTCACCCCATATCTTTGATATGAGACTATCATGCAAAAAAAAACGTACAATCTTTCATCTGATATTCTCATCATGTGTACTAGGCATTACACTCAGTGCCTGATTACCAATTAGATTCAGACCTATGGGCCCCACACGAGCCCCCATAACAACGAATCAAAATAATATTGATTTGATTTTGAAAGAAAATTACAATGAAGCTTTCTTAAATTGTTTACAAAATATTAAAAAAAATAATCAACTCAAACAAACGAAAACTTTACATTAAAGACTCTATAGAGAAAATACTGTATTAACTCCTTGGGTGTCCGTTTATGAACCAGCGGTAATAGCTCGCTGCTCAGTTCTCCGGCATTCTCAGAGAACACAGTTCTCCTGAGAATGCAGTTTATTAAGCAGTTCTCCGAACGAAGGGAGAACGAACGTCTCTCCAAACGCTGGAGAACGGTCTACAAACTCTGGAAAACGGCTGACTTTACTATAATCTTGCGAGATTACAGTAAAAGATCAGTTTACTAAACAGAGGTAAATTATCTCTGCTTAGTTTTGCGGTCCCTCTGATTCTCCAGCTCTGGGCTGGAGAATCTGGAGGAGAACACAGATCTCCAGTGAAGGGCTGACATGATCTCCTGAGTGTCATAAACTGTGAATGACCAGAGAATAGCTGAGATCCGTTGAATCGCAGCTATTCTCTGTGTCATAAACGGACACCTTGGTGCTGAGCATACTCAAATATGAGGCCTCTCAGCGGCTGGGCCTTGGTGCTGCATATGTAAACAAAACGTGCCAATAGCACGTGCCCTGCATGCTCACAGCACATTTACGGGCACCTCATGAAAAGGTCCCAATCACTACTTGCAGTCGGGAGATTTCTGATCATGTGACCACCGTGACAACCAATCACGATGGTCATATGGCCCTAAACTATTCCTCCTGGCATCACAAACCCCTTAAAAGTCCAGAAGGCACCGGCACCGAGGGATTAGTATAATGTACCCAATAACAACTTAACCCCTTCCTGCTGCCACCTCCCTGCCCTTTAAAGTAGAACTATAGGCAAAACTTTTTTTTTTTTTTTTCATTTCGGATATAGCAAGGGAGGGTTATAACCCCTGTCAGATTTTTTTCACCATCTGCGTTTCTTTCAGAGATTTCCCTTCACTTCCTGTCCCATAACCAAACAGGAAGTGAGAGAATATCCCTGAAAATTAGGGAATTCCTTGGGGACCTCCAGCTCACCAGGACTAATGTCCCGATTGGAACACTTTCTCTCTATTACTTTTCTTGGGGACAACACAAAATTTGGGATTTCTTTTACTTTCACTTTTTTGATGATAATGGTAAACAGGACAAATTTAGAGGGTGAATTTCCCTAACAGGGGCAGAGACTGCAATAAAAATTGACAGGCGTTCAAATCAATCTCCCTGCTATGCAAAATGAAAATATCTTTTGCCTTTAGTTATACTTTAACAGGCTCTAAATGCCAGGAGGCGAAGGCAGGCATTCCGATCATGTGACCGCTATGATCGGAAGTCACAATAGTCACATGATCAGAAAGCTCCCGATCGCAAGTATGCATCGGGAGCTTTACGGTACCCACTGGATACTGTGCTAGGAGCATGCTCTCAGCACAGTAAAGTGTTTACATAGTGACACATATATGTGGCTGCTGGCCATTAAAGCCCCTTGCCAAGAAGCCATATACACTCACCGGCCATCTGTTCAATTGCTTGGTAACAAAAATTGCTAATCAGCCAATCACATGGCAGCTACTCAATGCATTTAGGCATGTAGACGATGTGAAGATGACTTGAAGTTCAGACTGAGCATCAGAATGTGGAAGAAAGAGGATTTAAGTGACTTTGAATATGGCATTATTGTTGGTGCCGAGACGAGCTGGTCTGAGTATTTCAAAAACTGCTGATCTACTGGGATTTTCACACACAACCATCTCTAGGGTTTACAGAGAATGGTCTGAAAAAGAGAAAGTATCCAGCAAGCTGCAGTTGTGTGGACAAAAATGTCTTGTTGATGTCAAAGGTCAGAGAATGGGCAGACTGGTTTCGAGATGATAGAAAGGCAACAGTAACTCCATCCTGAATACACAACACATCGAACCTTGAAGCAGCTGCCGGAGCAAAAGACCACACTGGGTGCTACTTCTGTCAGCTAAGAACAGAAAATGGAGGCTACATGTAAGGGAATTCCTGTGCGGCAACTGGCTAATAGAAATGAGCATAGGCTTGCGCA